AACTATGGTTAATTTGTTACAACATTTTATCTTTTTGGCTTAATTAGGTTTAGCCTAATCTATATAGACTTCAAATCGATAGTTTGATCAATTTTGCTATTTTAACTCATCTAAATTGGTCAATATGTTGAAATAATAAAAAATTTCTCCCCTAACATCTTGAACTACAATCACCTTAAATGATTAAGCTTGCCTACTTGGGAAAATGTTTGACCTCATTTAAGTCCCAAATAATCATGTTGAGCTATTTTAATTAATTGGTCACCTTACGAGGGTTAGAATTAGTTAAACTAGACTTTCTTCCCTTATGTGCTTCTAAAGAATCACTATAAAGGATTTTTATTAGTTTTGCTAATTAACTATGCTAAACCACCTCATAATGTGGATGCTCTTTTTTAGGTAACATTGAGCCTTTTGACCAAATATGATCAAATTAGGTGGACTAGATTTGTGTCATGCTTAAAATATCCTCTATAATTTTCATATCCAAGAAATTATGCCAATTTTATAGTTGAAGATGATTTTTCTCATTTGGCATATTTGAGCGCATATTCGTTAATTTTTTTCAAATGGACCCAATGGACACATCCATTGGTCAAAATTTTATCCAAAGACTTCTAATAACTTGAGGACATCTTATTAAGAATCTAAGATCTTTTGCATTAATTTTATTTTACTACGATTGATAGGGATTCATTGTGATACAATCGAGTATTAAAGGTTCAATTATGTTTAAAACTTTTGGAAACACCCTATGGCATGGTTTACTTTGACATGTTATTTTAATTTTATCAAATTGATCCAAGGAAATCAATTAAAGCTGAATATAGAAACTCTCCCTAATAAATTGATTAATTTTTAGGTTAAAGGACTATTGTCATTTTTAATGCCAACAAACATGATGACTTAAGGAAGCAAGTTGATGAACTCTTTAGAAAATGCATTTTTTTAGAACTTCCTAGCCCATGAGCTATCACCGCATTACTAACAATTAAGAAGTACAAATCATAGAGAATGTATATTGATAGAAAAGTTATCAAAAAGATCACCATCAAGTATAGATTTCCTCTATCTAAACTTATTGATATGCTATATCAAATATCTGGAGCCACTTAAATTATAAATAGATCATATGAGTGGTTACCATTAGATTAGGATTATATTGAGCCTTTAAGGAAAGGTTGTAATAAAAATCCTAGATGAAGTATATGAATGGCTTATGATGTCCTTTAGATTTTTAAATACTCCAAGTACATTCATCAAGATCATGAACACTATTAAAATCATTCATTGACATATTCTTAATGAGTTACATTATTGTCATCATCATATACATGTTAGATAGAGACCACTATCTCCATGGCCCTTAAGTTAATTTTGGACAATGTGAGAAAGGAAATGTTATACTTGAATCTAAAAAGGTTATGAGGCAAAAAGTCATATCATTAAGTTTTTTACTAAGCAATTCTGGACTTTCATATTAAACTAACAAAGTTAAAGACATCACTAATTGGACAACTCCAAATTTATTCATTGATATTAGTAGTTTTCATGAATTGACTATATTTTACAAGAAGTTTATTAAACAATTCAGCACCAAAGTTGCTACATTTATTGACATTTTAAAGAATTTTTTTAAAGGGGAATACTAGTGCTTTCTTTTGATAATATTTAAGTTTGTCATAACTGCACTCCCTATTTCAATATTGCCTTATTTTATTAAAGAATTTGAAGTACATTTTAATGCCTTAGGGCATTAAATGCATGGATACACTCCTCTTTCCTTCTTCCTGACAAAAACGAAATGCACCCTAAAAGCTCTATCTTGCATTAGGGAGTTGAGGTTCTCCTACACCACCCTACTTTTTTTTTGTTCATAGGGGGTCTCCAACCATGTGAAAAAGCCACACAATCGCAACTGGCACGATTTTCTCACGACCCGGAGTAGAGTTATATGGATTTCATTATTTATGACTGACACTCCTTCCAATCTCGAAGCAATGTGGTTTGAGTTAAGAAAATCATCATATAGCCTTCTTTTGTGAAACATTGAATGATGCTAGATATAGATCGATATTCAACCTGTGGTGAAAATTTCTATGTTATCATTCAATCCCTTGAGCATTAGAGGTATTATTTACTACATAAGAAATTCATTTTACATACATACAATCAAGTCTTGAATTTATCAATACAAACAAAAAATTAAGTCATAGAGCATGTAATGGGTAGAGTTTATACAAGATTATAGTTTACATATCAAGCATACATCCAATGTTGTGAATAAGCCAGTAGATGTAGATTATTTATCAAGAGAATCATTGGCCATTATATCTTTATAGCCTCAAATTCTTTGTTTCGACTAACTTAGGGAAGCTTATCTTTCATACCTTAATTTTCATGTTATATATCATGAGCATAATGATCCCATACCTTTGATGAGTTCCTTTGTAATTATTGATGGATAATTATATGAGAGCGATAGTTCTACATCCCTTGAATTATGCTAGATAGAGATATTCAACACGTGATAAAAATTTCTATGCGATCATTCAACCCCTTAGGCATTAGAGGTATTATTTACTACAAAAGAAGTTCATTTTACATACATATATACCATGAGTTCCATAAATTTATCAATAAAAATAAAAAACTAAGTCATAGAGCATGTAATGGGTAGAGTTTCTACAAGATTTTAGATTAGCAATCAAGCATACATGTAATTATGTGAATAAGCCAGTAGATGTAGATGATTTATCTAGAGAAGCAATGGCCATTAGATCTTTATAGCTTCAAATTCTTTGTTTCAACTAACTTAGGGAAGCTTATCTTTCATACCTTGATTTTCATGTTATATATCATAAGCATAATGAACCCATACCTTTGATGAGTTCCTTTGTAATTACTGATGGATAATTGTATGAGATTAATAGTTGATGCTAGTAGAGTTATTCAACAAGTGGTAAAAATTTATATGTGATCATTCAACCCCTTAGGCATTAGAGGTATTATTTACTACATAAGAGGTTCATTTTACATACATACCATTATGTCCATAAATTTATCAATACAAATAAAAAACTAAGGCATAGAGCATGTAATGGATAGAGTTTCTACAAGATTTTAGATTAGCTATCAAGCATACATCTAATGTTTTGAATAAGCTAGTAGATGTAGATGATTTATCTAGAGAAGCATATCTTTCATACCTTGATTTCCATGTTATATATCTTGAGTATAATGACCCCATACTTTTGATGAGTTTTTTTTTTAATTATTGATAGATAATTGTATGAGAGTAATAGTTCTACAGTCCTCAAACATTCCTTAGAAATTCCTAATTTGGTGTTGCATTCAAGAGGAATTATAGTGTATTTAGGAAGGAACAAGATAGTCAATTTAATTGAGAATAATTTTTACTAGCCCTCCATCAAGAAGGATATGGACAAGATTATTGTAGGGTGCTTCAGTTGCAAATAGGCTAAAGTACCAAGACAAAGGCAAGAAATATATTCTTTTTCCCTTTGCACTATAAACCCAAAGATAACCTATTTATGGACTTTGTTTTGAATTTCTTATGCCATATAAGGAGTTGATAATATTTATGTGGTGGTGGATGGATTCTTCAAGATGACATATTTTTTACCTTGTAATAAAAAATAATGATGTGTCACATATTATAAGGATATTTTTCAAGGAGATAATAAGATTATATGATTTTTCCAATAATGTTGTGATGAATAGATATGCTAGATTTATTTTATATTTTTTTAAAAAAAATCCTATTAAAACAAATGGATATTAAGCTTAAATTTTCTTCATCATTTCATCCATAAACAGATGAGTAAATAGAAGTAGTCAATATGTCTAAGGAAATTTATTGAGTTGCTAGTAGGGAAGAGCATAGGAAATTGGATTTTTCACTTAGCCACTTCATAATTTTTCTATATAGTATAATTTCAAAAATAATCATAAAATCATCTTTAATCATCTTTTGAGATAGTATGTGGTTATAATTACAAAAGATTACATGATATTGCTAACATTCTTACACATATTTTTAGATTCAACATTTACTTTTGCTAAACATTTTGCTAGCTTGCATAAAAATGTGAAGAAATAAATTGAATAAAGTGACATTAAGTTTGTTTAATCTATGAATAAAATGAGTTTTAAAAAAGAGTATAAAATGGTGATTATATAATTATTTGCATCAAACATGGAAGAAACACCTTCAAGTTCAATAAAATATATACAAGGACTTGTGGAGCATTTAAAATTTGTAAGAAGAATTGTTATATACATACATATAAATCTTATATTTAATATTGAATATTTACTAACATTCCAACAAAATTTGTTACTTAAAAATTTGAGCTTACCCTTTTGTAAATGGAGCAAGCCATCAAATGCAAGTGGACATTCAACCAAACATCCAAGAAGTTGAGTGCATACTTATGGATGAACCACCAACAAATGACATTGGAGAGCACAGATTGCTAGGGAGATGGAAGGATAAGCCAGTGACGATACATGGCTTACTATGACCGATTTGGAGAAGATTGAACTTAATATTATGGATGATTACTTAAATTTCAACTCCTTAGAAAAGAGTTTTTGAAGTCAAAGAAATGATGCAACGCAAGAAGCTCCATGTGCTGATGTGCTGCATCACTCTGCCACTATACACTTACACAATCATTATTAATTTGAACTCATTTACCCTCCCTCCTATATGAATTCTCTCTTATTTGCCTCCATAGTTGGCAAAGATCCCATCATTATAGTACATAAATTTTGTGAGTAACCTCACCACCTCATTTGATCTCATCTTTGTTGTAACTACCCCCTTTATTATTCATTATTGACTTGATTGTCTAACTATACTGCTCCACTTTGTAGATGATGATATATGAAATTGCAATCAAATGTTCATCAAATTTGAGAAGACAGAGAGTTAGATTGATTCAAATTACTGCTATAAAATTTCATTTAATCTGGGTCTAACAAAATTTGATTTGAATCTATTTCTAAAATATACTAATCAATTAGGGTCAGATTGGTTCTCTTGTTTTCTTAGATCAGAGCTAAGCTTGAGTTGAAGGACCGTTAGCCCAGAGGCGGTTTGAAAGGTCCCCACCCTAACTTCCCTTTTCTCGATAAAGGAAAGAAATCGCAAAAGAAACTTTTGCTCGTCAGTGCTCTGCTCTTATATTAGAAAGAGGATGGAGCTGCTAATAGTGCTTTCCCTCACCAACTCGTCTCTGTCTTTCCTTTCCCTTATCTTCTTCTCCACAATTTGCTGCTCATCCACTGCATGAAAAGCTATGCAGATGGAAAGCTCGTCAGCTTCTTCGCGTGTCGAGTCTTTTCCAATCGGGCTTAGAGTTCTTGTTGTCGACGACGACCTAACATGGCTGAAAATTCTCGAAAAGATGCTCCGGAAATGCTCTTATGATGGTAATCTTTCAAAAGCTTGCATTCTTTTGTATTTTCCTTTATTTACTTTTTTTTCTATGTTGGATTTGCTATAGTTTGCACCAAATCAGGAGCTTAGGTATTCGTTTTAGTTTGATGAAGGATTGGTGTTTGATGTAATGTCAAGAAGTTTAATTGGTCTTTTCCATCGATCCTCCTTGCTATGCATTATTAACGGAGTGATATTTATTTTCTTTTTGTGATGATTGTGAGACTTTTACCATAGTTTTATCAGTGAAGGGAGAAACTTGTCCTGTTAAAGTCGTTAGAGCTAGTAGATTTTAGTTAGTTAGTTAGTTTGTTTGTTTAATGAACTAGCGGAAGTTTGTATTCTGTCACTTTAATGCTTTGTTGAAAAACTCCCCTTAATCTGTAGCGTTCTCTTTAAGGTTGATGTAAGAAACTTTGAACTATTTTTCCAAGTCATGTGGAGAAAGGTCTCATCTGGCATTATTTTCCTAGCTGCCTTGATTTCCCAAACTCTATACATGCTATGAAATGTTCGGTAAAAGCACTCTATTGCATCTGATCCTATTTCTCTTATTCACGATTGATGTTTTATCAACAATACCTTCTCTAACTTTGGAGAAAGCAGCAATTTGTAATTTAAGATTGTACTATTGGATTTTTTTTACCAGATAAGGCCCCGTGATTTTTCCATTTTTGGGATTTCCATGCTAAAAATTGGTTTTGTACTTTTCCTGATTATCTACGGTGTTTATCTCAAGCTAAGATATAGAATTTATTCTCTCCCTATCAACATAATTATCTTGCACGCAACATGATCATAAAGATATATATTTGCAAAACTGCTATTGCATCTCTCTTAGAGTAGAGCAATAGCACAACAGCGAAACAATATTTTTAATCAAAGTCAAAATTTCAACTAAAAAGTTAAAATCTAACTTTTTAATTTTCACATTTAGTCCATGCCTTTATGAGCAAGGAGAATGCATAATCCCGATTTCTTATTTCTATGAAATTCCAATCCCAATTTTTCTCCTTGAAGGGAATGGCCCAATATTACACTGTGACAGTAGAAGAATCACCTTTTAGTTAGAAAAGTAAGACGAGTTATCCAGGTTAATATTTTGTTTTGTAATCAAGCCGAACAAGATGTTGGTATTTTTTATTTGGTTAGTGTTAAGATGTTCCATCTAGCATAATTTGTACTTCAAATTTTTGTTGCTTTTCCTTCGAAAATACTTTGAAGCAACTTCCTTTGACTTGATGTTAGCATATAAATGTGTGTAATTGTTATGTGTCCATGTGTGTGTTACCTTTAATCTGATGAGTTCTTTTTTTAATCCAATTTTCTCTATGATTACAAATGCGTAGTTTTCAGCAATATTTTCTTGATTGATGGGTTCTAGTTGTACCCTACAATGCAAATGCGAATAAATGTCCATAATTTTTGTTTCTGAAAATACAGAGAAATTATTATACTTCTTTCAAAAAAAAAAAAAAAAGGAAAAAGAATGTAGAAGCTAATAACTAAATGTGATGGTTATCTGTGGACTACATGAAAGCTTGAATTCCGTAACTGTATCTTATTCATAATGAACTCAAAGTTTCTTCATCCACTGAAAAAGATCTTCTATATTTACTATTTAGTAGATCTCTATAGGAACTCTCTGGATTATCATCAAGCTTTTCTTAGTTCAAAACATGTGTGGACACTCTTTGTTTGAAAGGTTGAATGAATGCAAGAATGGAAAAGTTAAAGGGTTGAGTGAGGGCAAAAGCTTTAACGCAGGCATTAAACAAGAAGCTTTAATGACATTACTTGAATTTCAACTAGATATATCTCTTAGTAATTAAAAACAAAAATATCTAAGGGAGATGGAAGAAGGAAAAATAAAACACAAAAGAGAAAAAAAATATTGATTTGAGCAGTTATGAATTTTGTGGTTCGGCTATTTTCGATGACCTGACTTGGGAACTCTTTCTTGTTTCAAGTAGAAGGTTGATCTGATTTTAAATTTGTTATTGTTCATAGCCTATTATGAGAATCTAGCGGAAGTTTATCTTATGTTTCCTCTTCTCCTTGTAACAGAAATGCCTTGTTCTCATGTTTTTTAAATGACTGTTAATGAATTATGTTTATTTATTTCACCAAAATATCAGAAAACACATCTAATCTTGTGATTACTGATTGAACATTCTAAATTTTATTTATGAACATCTAGGAAAATAATCAAGAAATTTAACCCATGTATAAGGTCAACCTTTGTTGTGCAAAGTAAAGTACAATAATTTTCTGCTAATTTAGTGATCACTATTCCTTTAATAATGCAGTTACTACGTGCTGCAAAGCAAGAGCTGCTCTTGATCTTCTACGTGAAAGGAAAGATAGATTTGACATTGTAATCAGTGATGTTAATATGCCCGACATGGATGGTTTCAAGCTTCTTGAGCACGTTGGACTTGAGATGGATTTACCAGTTATAAGTTAGTTCTAACTATCCTCATTTTTCTCCACTTTTATATTTATAAAATCCTTTAATCTAACAAAAATTTATCTATGGGAATTACATCTCTGTCCCTGTGCAGTGATGTCGGTAGATGGTGAAACAAGTAGGGTTATGAAAGGTGTTCAACATGGTGCCTGTGATTACCTTCTTAAGCCCATCAGAATGAAAGAGTTAAGGAACATATGGCAACATGTTTATAGAAAGAGAGTACATGAGGTGAAAGATATGGAGTTTCATGATATCAATGATGATATTCATATCCTAAGAAGTGGGTTTGAAAATTTTGATGACAGACTATTTATGAGTACATCCGAGATGATCTCTTTAAGGAAACGAAAAGATGTGGACACAAGAGATTTTAGTGATCAAGATCTTTATGATTCTGCAACGGTGAAGAAAGCCAGAGTGGTTTGGTCTGTTGAGCTTCATCAAAAATTTGTAAATGCTGTGGATCAGATTGGTTTTGATAGTGCGTAACTTTTCGCTCGTGCCATCAGAAGTTCATTACTTGTTCATATTTCTGTGTTCATTAACATTTATTTCCTATGTATGGATTTTCATTTTCTCATTAGTTAAGTCTGTTGAAATATTTTCAATTAATCTATAATGTGCTTTTTAAGCTTCCGTTTAATATTTCTGAATATTTATATTTATCATTTTGCAGAAGTTGGTCCAAAAAAAATACTTGATTTGATGAATGTGCCTGGGTTAACAAGAGAAAACATTGCCAGCCACTTACAGGTACCCCTCCCCATGTATTTGAGCCTCCAAGTTAGTATAAAAGTTCAAAATAAAATAATGTGAAGAAACTGCAAGCCGGACAGAATACAATCATTTCACTTTGCTTTTCAACTGGCATAGATACATGACATAATTTTTTCGTAGTATGTTCTTTTGCCAATGGACATGACATTGTTGCGATTCTCAAAGTTTTTGTTTGTCAAATGCACAAAATGTTTGTGTTATTAGGATTAATCTAAAAGTTGACGTTTTGTTAATTTTAGTTTCTTTTTTTTGCTTAGAATTATAGGGGTAAGTACGTACATCAGCAGATGTTGCCCAATTATAAATGTTTTCTTTGCGCATGGATCCTTACTTGGATCCCTGTCCTACCATTGACAAGAACATTCTTTGATATCTTCCTTCAGCTTTTTGGCTACATATGATCTGATTCCTCTATTTTTGAGCTGCCTGCGGCACTTACATTTATTTTTATTTTTTTGATAAAACCCACAAAAGGAGCCTACGCTCTTATATAAAGCAAAGTTACAAGTCCTTAAGGAATCCAAAGTCCTCTAAATATAACATTTAAAGCAAAACCTACAAGACTTAGATTCAATCTAAATACAAGATCAAGTAAAAGAAAAGACAATAAACCAAAAACAGGACCACAAGGGGAGCCAACAATCCACCCATAGCGGCTAATTGGAAGCAACCAGTGCCAACACCAATAGAGATCCGACAACCTAGTACCCTGCAAGGAAGAAACAACAAAGAAAAAGCAAAAAAGAAAAGCCAAACAGAATCCAACCAACCAACAGAGACACAAAACAAACCAACCACCACATAAGAATAAAAAACTCACCCAACCCCCGAAGCAGAGCCACAACCTTCACAAACCCAAACAGCTAAGCTGAAAAAGAACCTCAACCAACAACCTATCCATCATACCAAAACAGCCAAATCGAACCAACAAAGCCCAAGAAGAATTACTTCTTAGATTTTCATTTATGATGCTTACCACCTCCAAGAGAAGAGGCATTGTCAACTATGCGACCCACATTCATATTATATCTCGCATGAAACTCATCTTTAGACCCAACAAAATCCTCTCCATCACCTCCACAAGGGGAAGAAACAAACTCATCAAGCCAATCACATTGGGCCACACAAGAATCCTTCATTTTTAACCCCAGATGAGCTTTTAAAACATCATTAGATATAAGTGAAACCAAAATATCTATCAAAGGCAAACCCTCATTTGGAATCATAACATTACGGGACAAAACCAGTCCCAAAGAAGCTACTCTACTAGAGACAACAACTACTCCACAAGAGGAGTCCTTCAAGCTATCATGAGACAAACCGTTATCAAGATTCATCAGAGCCTTCTCAACAATGTCAGGAAAAGCAACATGTGATAGATATAAACTGGCATCAACCACCTTGTTAATATCAAACAAACCCAAATTAACCACATGCATATTCTCATGACAAGTTTCAGGATCAATTCATTAATGAACCAACTCAACAACAACAGAAGAAACAACATATTTAACATCTCCAACAACCATTAAATGAACATTATTATCAGCCCCCATAATTATATCCTCACCAGCCTCTTGAAATGAAGAAGCACAACAATTTCCATCTTTAATAACATTAGGAGCAAGAGAAGAAATTCCAACCAAATTAGAAGAAATAGAGCAGATATTCCCAACAATCGAAATAGACACAGGAGGAACCACAGGGTCTGGTTCAACCGAAAGCCCAACATCGCTAGATATGAAAACCGCATTTTTCACATGGTCCTCACTAGCAACATCAACATCATTGTGCAAAGCCAAATCCACACAACCATTGACATGTCTAGTAGTAGGCTCATCACTATAAGGCAAAACATCCAGATTACCCGAGGAGGATTAGTATAGGGAAGATTAGAAAAATTGGGGTTTAAGATATAACAATCCATTTTCGAGTGAACAAGCGATTTGCAATAAGAACAATATGAAGGAAATTCTTCCATAACCACTATCTGAACATAACCCAAATTTTCATGACCTTCCCACACCCGCTCAGGGAAGTGTTTGGTGAGATCTAATTCAACCAATCATGAGCTATAAAGGGTCGAGAGCCACACAAAGTGACATTATCAATTTTAAGAGGTCATCCAAATATTGAATCGAGACCATGAAGGATAGAGGGGAAAAGAGATGGGGTCTAAGGTTGAGAAATGAAACCCAAATCAAAATGATGGGGGATTCCACTTTAATATAAAATGTAGGAGACCATTTGAACACTTTCATAAAGGAATTCTTCACAAAGTAAGAATGGTGAGAAAACACCCTACAATAATCTAAATCATTAACAAGCTTAACCAATAGATGCTTCAGATTGAGAATGGTAACCAAGACTTCACCATTAAGCTTTAAATTAAAGAAGAATTTCCGAATAGCTTCGATAGAAGTACGCCGAGCTGGAAATTTTCCCACCCAAGCGAACTCGAAAGGGGAAGCAAGTTATAAAATTTTATCATCTGAAATCCATAAAGATGGTAATCCATGGTGAGAAGTGATTTTGAGGTTAGAAAAAATCAAAGAAGAAGAATCACCAAATAAAGCATCACGGAAGGGATGAGAATAGCCCTTCCCATTCAAAAAGCAAGGATCCACAAGGACGTTAACCACCATCAACCGAAAAATTGACGACAAATCGAAGGGGAAAAATCGAAAAAGCATCAGAAAACTAGAGAAAAATGGAAAAGGGCACTTCTCTAAGGCACAAGTGCCAGAGAGCAAAACCGGTGAGAACGATATCAATCCCAGCGGAGCGAAAGGCCTTCGGGGCTGCAAGAGAAACCACGACATTGGACCCCCTCTCCAAGTCATATGGGCAGAACTATTGCTCGAAATTACTTCAAATATCAAGGATACAGGCATATCATGTCCAATTGTCCAACCCGCAGAATGATCACTGTGATTGAAGAAGAAGATATCATGGATGGCGAATCCTCCTCGGATAGACTCAAACGATTGGAAACTAAGGGCCCTCCGGATCCTATAATTATCAGCGCTGATGAAGGAACCCTCCTAGTACAGAGAAGACTACTTAGTGGTAAAAAAGAAGAGCGGGTCCAATGACACAATCTCTTCCGAACAAGGTGTACCATCAAGGATCGGGTGTGCCAAGTCATCGTGGATAGCAGTAGTTGCGAGAACATTGCTTTGTATGTTGGTAGAGAAGTTGCAGTTGCTTACAGAAGCTCACCCTCGGCCATACAAGCTTTCATGGATCTAACGAGGCAATGAAGCAAAAGGTTTCTAAACGTTGTCTCTTCCAATTTTCTATTGGAAAATTCAAGGACCAAACTTGGTGTGATGTTTTATCGATGGATGCTTGCCATCTAGTGCTGGCTCATCTGTGGAAGTACGACATAAAAACTCTTCATGATGGAGCCTCCAATACGTATACGTTGGTTCGTGGAGGGGAGTCCTTTTTGCTGATGCCTTTGGACAATAATCTAGAGGGGGTAACTGGCGACCAACTAATGATCAATCGAACTGAGTGCCAAAGGTCTATTAAAAAGGCTGAGGAAGGATTCCTCTTGCTGCTAATGGAAGCCAACAAACCAGGCCATGACTACCCACCCAAAATTCAATAGATTCTCAGCGAATTCAGAGACGTGTGGGTGAAGGAACTTTCGGCCGGGCTGCCACCAATGCGGGATGTGCAACACGCTATGGATCTGCTACTAGGAGCTACCTTTCCCAACCGTCCCACATACCGGCTTAGGCCTGATGAACACAATGAATTAAGGCGTTAAGTGGAAGAAGTACTGTCCAAAGGGTTCATTAGACCCAATGTCAGTCCGTGTACAGTCTCGGCACTCTTGGTACCAAAAAAAGACGGTACGTAAAGGATGTGCATTGATAGCCGGGCTATCAACAAAAATACTATATGCTATCATTTTCCTATCCCACATAAAGATGATTTGTTCGATCAACTGCAAGGAGCCGCCATCTTTTCAAAGATAGATTTGCGATGTGGGTACCATAAAATTCGTGTTAGGGGAGGCGATGAATGGAAGACCGCCTTTAAGGTTAAAGATGGGCTATATGAATGGTTGATAATGCCTTTCGGCCTATCCAAAGCCCCAAACACATTTATGCGCCTTATGAACAAAATATTTCAGCCATTCTTGAATACATTTGTGATCGTCTATTTTGATGATGTCTTAGTTTATAGCCCGGATGTGCAATCCCACTTGCAACATTTATGACAAGTTCTAGCCCATAGCTTTTTTCAGTGAAAAACTAAATAAGGTGCGACAACAATACTCCACCTATGATAAGAAATTTTATGCCATCGTTCGAGCCTTAGAGCATTGGAGCCACTATCTATTATGCAAGGAATTCATCCTGTTCACCGACCATGCCGCCCTGAAGTTTTTAAAAAATAAGAAGAAATTAAGGGGACCTCATGCAACATGGTTTGAGTCCTTGGCCGCCTTTCAATTCCTACTTAAACATAAGTCCGACAAGCATAATCAGGTAGCTGACGCCCTAAGCAGATGCCATGTCCTTCTACAAACATTACAAACCCAAGTAGTCGGTTTTGACACTACTAAAGGCCTATACTCCACTGATCCAAACTCTGTCAACATGGTTTAACATCCATAATGGATTTCTATTCTTTCATTCCTGCGTCTGTATTCCTAGGTGTTCAATTAGACTTGCTCTTGTCTAAGAATGCCATGACGGTGGACTCGCCGATCACTTTGGGTGTGATAAGACATTAGCATTATTATAGGAGAAGTTCCACTGGCCCGCCATGCATAAAGACGTACTCTGATATGTTAGAGGTTGTCGAATTTGTAAGATGGCCAAGACTCCTATTACTAACGCAATATTATATTTATCGCCACCAGTACCCCTTGGCCCATGGGAGGATGTGAGTATGGATTTCGTTTTGGGATTACTCCAAACCCAGCGAAACAAAGATTCTATTATGGTCGTTGTGGA